AGCGCGCTCTCCCATAATCTATCAAGCCTCTGACTCCTTAGGAAGCAAAGTTCCAATAACTTAGAGGACACAAAGCCTCTTCTGCACCAGAGGCGGCGTATTTCTCAGCACAGAGAGCAATTCCTAGGCTGGAGGTACACCATACCTATTCCCACCTGCTTAGTTAAAAGCAAACGCAAACACACAAAGTTTCTCACTTTATGATGCATGCTTGTACTTGGAATTATATTAGAAATGTTTGCAGCTAAAAAATGGATTTACAATTTCCCCCCCCTTCCGCTATGCAAGTGGCCAGCACGTGTATGAGAGGGAGGAATGAAGGTCACACGGAGGGTACGTAGCGATTCTCTCAAAGCACACAGCAGGGTTCTTGTTTTTAAATCAGCGATGATGCGGAGCAAACACTCCAACCCCACAGTTCATAGGTGTTTGGATGAAGGCGCAGCAGCAGTCCTGCAGGCGCAGTTGAGGGAAATAAACTATATATTTAGAGGAAATGAACAGGATATCTGTATGTTTTCAAACAAAGATCCCAGGGTTTCATAAGTAACGCAAGTTACTGGCCAAATAACAGAAGTGAAAGTTTCTATTTTAAAAAGGAACAACAACAAAAAAACCATCACCAGAAGGATTTGATCAGGCTGCAGCAAGGGCTGGCATTTGGGCAGCACAGAAAGTACCAGCAGCCTCTGACAAGCAGCGCACTGGGCGTTATCTATGTGGGATGCTAGTTCTGGCATCAACATACATGTGACAGAGGCTGGGTTTTAAGCTTAGACTTTCACGCACAGCCTTTACCTTGCTCTCTTCACAAGTGCTCTGAGTGCTTCAGCTGCCTTTTGCTCTCAAGGCTTGGGAATGCTCGGCCGCCAGCCATATGGGCTTCCCTGTGCCCTCTGCTGCTCATCGGGGCACGCGAGGGCTCACCACTAACTGCATTTACTAAAATTTCTGCTAGAAAGCAGGAGAGGAAAGACTCCTTCTCACATGCTCACTTCAAGTCAGGTAGGCTGTGAGGTGAGGAACTACCTAAACACCCATCTTTGCGTGAACATAAAAATGTTTTCAGATAGGAATTGTTTTTGCGCCTTACCGGGTATGGTGTTCACACACCTTGGGGCCTAACAGTTGTGCACACCAGTAAATATAAAAGGTAGCCAAAGTGGTCCCCTTCGGGAAGGGACTGGTTTTGAAACGGGAGTTGCACAGCGCTAAAGCCCTGACCCGGCTGCAAGGAGGGATCAGGGGTTCCTGGTCTGGCGAGAGGAAGGGTGAGCAGCAACCAACAGCCCCGCCGTCCTCAGCCCCTCTGCCTGCCTCTGTGCTTAGGCAGAGGTTTCTCCTGTGTTCTAGCAAAAAGATTAAATAACAAGAACAGTCCCATATTCAAAATCAGAAAGGTATTTATGTATGCTAAACCCTAGCATCCTTGAATAAATAGGGGGTTTTATTTGAGGAAGAAAAAAAGTGGTAAAAACACAGATGAGAAATTACGAAAACTAAGAAGTGTCCTATTGTAGTAGAGTAGAAAGTTTGACAATATCATATGGACAGAGTTCACAATAGATTTCTGTTTTACATTTTTAATGTAGCTTCTGCAGAAGCTGTATCTTAAGCCATAAATATGTGTTTTAAGATTGAAGTAGTGATTATCTGATGTTGAGCAGACAGGTTGATGTTGGACACAGGTAGCACTAGCAGCAGCCATCCCATTTATTCCCTGTGTATTAATCAAAGTATTTTTGTGTCAGTAATCCTTTCCTTAGGATTATTTCTGTACATGGACTGCTGTTGAAATTTTTAGATTGGTTAAGAGCCTGATTGTCAATGCAGGAAATACCAAAAGTGTGCAGACTCCTAACTGTTTCAAATGATCGTGTCCTAATTCTGTTGAAATTAAGACCTTTGGGTATCAAAATTTTAACATATAAATGTCTGTTTCCATCACCCTTGGAAAAACCGAATAAACCAGTAGTGCTTTTTTTTAATTTAACAATTGAAAAATTCTCTACAGAAGGAATCCACTATGCAGTCCTTCCCAGAGAGTTTTGACCACTGAAACTGAAAGTTTAACACAACTGAGACGTCGTCTGTTCCATTAAGCTGCCACTGTACAGCCTTTGGGGGCTGTAAGACAGACAACAAGCAGTTTTGCCTCATTTTGGGGAGTGATAGCAGGGGCCGCTCACCAAGAACAAGTGCACTTACATTGCCAGGCTGCAAATGACTGGACTAAGGACGCTTTTACTGGGAGATTTCCTAGGTGCAAGAAAGGTAATGGGAGGGAGTCATCGGATGGGCATCTTCTGAGACTTATGGCAGCGTTAATTAATTCTCAGAGGAACGCTTTCAGGAGTTACAGAAACGACAAGTTATTATTGATGAAGTCAAGTACGTCATCCTACAATGTGAAACAATCATTCAGCTAAGAAGTGTCTTTATAAGACCTGCACATTAGTCAGTGGATGTAATCCCTGCGTTCAGAGGCTTTTACTAGCTCACATTAGAAACAGAAATTATTCGTATTGCTTTTTAGCCCCAGCGCTGCGGCAGTATCTGCAGTGTGCAGACAAAGTGCCATCCTGTTTACTTTCACGCTTCACCAAAGTTTTTCCTCAGCAGTCTGTATTTGTGTAAACACATGTAGACCAAGCAGCACCAAAGGCGTAACAACCAGCAGGGTACAGAAAAGGTCACCAAGGCCTTCACGTGCTCCGCAAAATTTTTATTGCGATGTAATTGAAAGGGGGAGTGGAGCCCAGGCACAGCTCTGTTTGTAGAGAGAAGTTAGTGTGTATGGGGAGAAACATTTTTGCTTAGGAAAAAAAATTATTTGATTTTAAAGTTGGCATGCCACTGTATGCACCAAACCCTCACAGCTTGGAAGAGTAAGTATGAACTTTTTAGGAGGACTGCTGAGTCCTATTCAACAAGTGAAAAGGATGAGCTCTTTTAAAAGTGTAAACCACAGTTTCATCATGTATAAAATAAAACCTTTAGGACCTCTAGGAGTGTAGCAGAAAATGAAACTTGGAATCAAGCTTACGTCATGTTACATATTTGGGTAATTCTCAGAGAACCGTAAGATAGCAGAAACAGCTGTTAAGAGTTGCTCGTCATACTTGCTGTTAGCCAGAGAAAAACAAATCCTGAAGGCTCCTGATCTATTCCCTTAGTTAACCTAAAGAATACATTAATTGTTGTACAGAGATGCATGGGCCAATATTTAGCCCACCACATCGATAATTGGCTAGGACCAGTCTGCTATTTTCAACGTGAAACGGAGTCGGGCTGGGTGAGAGGGCAGAAGGGAGCAGCCTGTGCATACAAGGCAGGAAGGTCATTGGAAATTGTTGAACCACGATCAAAGGAGTTGGGTATTTCTGTGTACGCTGCGTGCAACACGTGAGCCTTCCTGCAACTGCAGGGAGCAGTCGGAACTGTTTTACAGTGCAGTCTGTGGGTTTATTTTAAAGCAACAGCATTTTTTGAGTTAAATGGAGGAAGGACTATGTTGTGGTTATGACTAGATCACAGCATGCTCGGTTCAGTTCCCTCTTCCTGAAGTCAAGCAAGTCATTTAATTTCTTGAAAACCAGACAGAACCGTGCTGCCTTTGGTAAAACGTGAGCTAGACAGTCCTACTAGCTGGTCATTAGCTCCATACCTCCAAGTTCTTGTTCAAGGCCACCAAGATCTGCTGACAACGGTCTCCCAGCCTGCTGAGCCAGCTCCTTCACAGCTCATGAACTCCCAGCCTCCGCCCTCCGTCATGGCTCTTCTATTTACACAGCCCAGGCACCGGGACGGGGGGCTTCTAGGCTACATCTGAGGCACGAGTGTCTGTGGCTTTTAAGAAAGTCGAGGCCTCTGTCCCAGCCAGTCTGTAAAATGAAAGTATCAACAAGCAGTCCCCACAGATGTCAAAGGATCCCCCATCAGTTTAAGAGTAAACATGCTGATTAAGTCTTTACATGATAGATGAGTTACAGCATAGAGCGTTTTAGCTCAGGGTTTTAAGCGACCTTTCTAATTTCTGAGGAGAACCTGGAAGCACAGCTTGAATTTGAGCCTCCTTTGGACTTTTATCAAAGGGCCTTTCTGTGATGAACCTGGTCCAAATTATCTGAAAAGGTTAACATCCAAGATCAAGAACAGGGCTCCGAAGTCAAAAGGAGGGTTTCATTTGTTTGATATTCTCCGGCAGCCTTCTGCCCAGTGAGTCTGGAGATAAGAGGAACAAAAAACTATGCTTAACTAAAGTGATTTTCCACATCATGTCCCCATGGCAAGTGCCTGGCGTGCCTTGCCAAGAGCCAATGCCCATAGCTCACACAGCAGCCACCTACGAGTACAGCGTCACTGACCCACAGCTTCTCAATTGTTCTTTATCCTGAACTAAACTCATTATTTCTCCTTATCTGCAGGTGTCTAATCTTCCCTGTATGGAGGCCCAAAGTCCTCTGCGCATTCCGGCTGTGCTGCTGCGCAGCGGCAGGCAGGAGGGGAGGAGAACGACCGGCCCCAGCTCCCGCCAGGCTCGCTGTTACGCTCCTTGCTAAAGCCGACTTTCTTGTGTTTCTGTCAAGGAAGCAACTGTGGGTGTTCTCGATGCAATACTCTGCACCACCAATTAAATAAAAGTAAAATTTATTTGGCATAGGACAGAAAAATAAGGAGAACAAAATCACATACAAAATAAATGTGAAGCAAAAAAATATTCACAGAACTAGGTTACTGTTTTATAAAAAGCTCAAACTTTAAGCATCTGATAAAAACGTGGTACTTTCTGCTCAGCCTATGTTTTAAATTATGTTTCTCTCCCTCTCTCATAGTCTTGTGTGGCTTTGGAAGTCCAAATTCAGAGGTCTTCCTTTGCATGCATTAGTTTACAGTAAAGAACATTTATCACAGACAAACTGTATTTCAAAATGGCAACATGAAGGGTTACTCCCTTTTTTAAGACACGCGGTTTCCATTTTTTTTCTTTTAGTCTGCCTACCTACCTCCTGCACACTCACTCACTGAGAACAGACACGTGTGCCCTGCTTCTGCTGAGTAACTCCAACACTCCCCTTTTTGCCAGTGCTCCAAGGTCACATTTTAAGTGAATGGTCCGGATGCTTCCACCTTCCAGGCTAAAAGATCCCAGTTTTCTCCTAACATACATGAAGAACCAGTCCATGAACTAGCTACGCTTAAATGTGTTATGGGGTGTCCTAGAATAGAGATTCTCCTTATTTTCTGATGAATACCGATTGAAAGAGTAAAGCTCATACAATGTATGTTACACAGAGTCAATGTACCGCCATAACAGGTTGGTCGCACCCGACTGTGAGACGACAGTGTTCATACTATTATGATGTGGTATTACATACATGCACATCTTATATCGCGATTTGTACTCTAGTATTGATAACAACGTTCAGCCAATTCGTTTGTAGTTCCTTGAGCACTCTGATCCTTTCCAGCATCCTGTGGCTGAGGGGCCCTCTCTAGGTCTCTTGACGTTTGACATTCTGTTTGAAACAATCCCAGTTTGACCATTCAACTCCATTCTTTGCTTCTAAGGCAAAAAATACCCTTTTTATTTGCATACTTTTGCACAGCAAATTGTTGTGTTACAATATATGTGAAGCATGATAGCAGTTTAGCTCCCTCATCTTCTCCTCCAACAGAGACCTACTTCTGCACGTGACATGTAAACAGTTGCTGCTTCCAGGAGAAACCACCATCCAGTTTTTTAAGCGACAATTTAAAGAACTTCTTTAATAGTTCAGTCTTGCAGAAAAATAAAATCACTTTTATGCTTCTTTTAGTGTTGGGAAATGCTGGCTTCTAAACAAGAACTTTGTGACCTTCTTTAAGAAGTAGTTCATTTGCAGAAATACGTGCTTCCTGAATCACAGGCTGCGTTTCCTTTAACAATCCTGAACATTAATCACTGTGACCTCTTCTCCCAAAGGCTGGTGCAGAAAGTCGTAACAGACATAACATGTGCTTTTCTTCCAAAAATATTGAGCAGAAATTATTAACACATGGTACAAAAGTTATTCCCATTTCATTTACTGACTTGAATTAAACAAAAATGAACATCCATGGCCATCGGCACACAACGTCCTAGTGATGACATACAGAGATAGTTTGAGGTGTGAAGGTTTACAATACAATGCCATTGAAACAAACCCACTAAATCTTATATGAAAGCAGTGAATCAAATTTAGTTCTCTAATAACCTATGCAACCACGCTGAAGTCAGCTGGGCTGTATGGACAGCAGGGTAAGACACTGGTTTGGGGAAAGGGTTAAATTTCCAGAGCCATACCAAGAGTTGATTGTGAGGTTAACCAGTGCCCACCTACATCTCACCTAAAGACTGATCCAATAGTCTCTCCATACACTGAGCTCAATCTGAAATTAGCAGACCGAGCACGGCACAACAGCAGGACTTGGCTCAAACACTGCATAATGCTACTGTTGCCGCTATTTACATTAGGACTTGGCAGAACGACGCCTATTAATTTTTCTAGTGAGACACAGAACAGTTGACTAAAAAAGTCATAAGGCACCACTGATTCAGTATGTTTTGCATTCTTCCTTTTTAACACTTCATAGTGAAATAAATACTTTAATAGTGATCATAGTCTAATTAGCTACTGATATATGAAGCAATACATTGAATGATAAAATGTTGCATTGTTCTGGAATATATCTAGGGACTTTTATAGCGAAAGATATAAATAGTAAAGTTGTTAGATGAAAAAATACCTCTTTCTGCATTGTTAAGCTATTTTACATATATGCCAAACATCCCTTTTGAAGAGGTTTCTATAGTACAAAGAAGTGCTAAAACTGAAGCAGCTCAGGTTTCTTGGCTTTTTGACTGAGGGCCTTTTACACAGCACATTTTAAAGTGAGACTGAAGCTGGTTTGCCAAGTCTTTGGTAGTGGTCCAGAATTTCTGGTCAGAAAACCTTGCTCAAAAGATCAAATATAGGGTATTTCAAATGATGCAGAGAGTTGGCAGAACAATGTGCAGCATTTTTGTTGACTTACTCGAACAGTCATGCTGGAAGCAGGTAAGTTGCAAAAAAGGTATTGTTTCTGGAGGGTTTTGGTTTTTTTTTGGCTGCATAGCTGTTTGGATACTAATAAGGATAAGGATATTAATCAGGTCAAGGTACTAAAAATATTGTATTCTTAAATTCAAAATGTTGTTCCTTAGAAAGTTATAAGTGCTTCAGTTTAAAAACATGAATACAATAATTTATCCTTTAAGTTATTATCCTAAAAATCTTATTTGGACTTCTATTCACATAACAATATCCCAAAGAGACAGGCACTTTGTTTAAGTGACATCCATAAAATACATATACAAATTCAGTACTGCGCTAGGTTTGATCCCAAGGTGCACCTGTCACATGGAGGTCCCACTAATATCTGTTTAAGAAACTCTTACAGCCACGATCCTGCAATTAGATGTAGATACACCCCCGCGCCTGCGCATGAATTGCAGGTTCAAGACCATAAATAGTAACTTAAAATATGTCATTAGATATAAAAATGTAAAAAACAGGTACATAATCAAATGCTATCACAGCTAACAAGATTTTGTAAACAAGCACTGAAAAGGCCAAATTAAATTTGATCTGGCCAAACCCAACTCTGTGTCATCCCCTGTCCAGGCTGTCAGGCAGAAAGGAGATCTGCCCCTCCGTGCCCACTGACAGAGCAAAGAGCCCTACGCACAAACGCTTCAGTGGGGTCCAGACTCTCTGCAGCTAAAGAAACTGACCTCATTCTAGCCACAGAGCGTACTTAGGATCATGTCTCCCATGCTAGAAAAACATTTTCTTAACGTACATGACTAATTCTTTTATTTATTGGTCTTTCTTAATCAGCATGGCTGCTGATACAGGCTTGGTAGGGATCCCAGGGAGTACACCAAAGAAACAGAAACCATTGAGGAGAAATTTTTCAGAGCTAACCTTCAGAAGTCCAATTAACAAAGAGCTATCACTCAGCAATATTTCAAATCCAGAATTACACTCTACCTCTAATTTCCAAAGGCATTTTATATGTGTTTAGATCCATTTGTAAAATGGACTCACACAATGAGCTCTTTTCTCACGTACAAAATTCAAAAGCCATTAAAGATACAAACCAATCGTCACAATGTTAGAATACTTTACTCTCTCTTCTATTAATGTAAGCCTTGCAGCTCTCTGCGGAGAGTCCTTTCAGCAAAGTTTGAAAGGACAGGCTTCATGGTAAACTCAGAAGGCCAAATGTTCCCATTTCTCTTGAACCAAGTGCAGACAGCAAATTTTGGAGCTGATGCTCCCACTTGAACGCTAAAACCCCAGACCTTCTTCACTACATCAAAGGGCTTTCAGTTCAGCACGTTTTTGACCTCAGCTGCTCTACTGTAACGCAAGTCAAACACAATCTCTCTGAGACTTCTGACCTAAGCCCCAGGAAGCTTTTTAAGTCAAACCCACCATTTAATTGTACCAAAGAAACAACTGGAAAGCAGTCTGTGGAGCACTGGTGTTAGCAATGCTTTACAGAAGCAGCCTGCAACTACAATGATTGCTGCATTTGCACCGAGACTACTTGCTGAGGACTCTTCGCATGTCGTCTCAGGTAGAAGGCTTTACAATAATCCAGGACATGGATGACTGTGGGGTGGTCCACATCAGAGTAGGAAAGAATTAGGTGACTAAAAGTGTAACACCACTAAAAAACAAGGAAAGAGGGGTAAAAAAGAAAAGGTATTTTTATGCTGCTGAATTGTTCTCTTGTGCTTTTCTTTGGAAGATTCTCCGCAGATGAAAACAAGGCCAGACACACTCCATCCTTGGGGCAGGATGTGCTATCTATTGTTTAAAACAACATTTGCTTGGCTAAGCTGAAGTGAAAAGGTTTAGGATGAACTCTTGGTCACCATGTAGTAGGCTTGCAGAAGCAGATGGGCCAAGTTAGGCATGCAAAGAAGGATCCAGGGGACTCTTGGCTACATGGTTTTCCCCAGCAACTGTTTTTTAAACAGAAAATAGACTGTACTTTATCATTCAAATAACACAGCCACTGTACCCAAAGTGAATGAAACAGCATTGTTCCAGCTCTCATTCAATTCAATTCAAAGCCAGACATCTTGTGGAGCTTTCAAGGGGACAGGGCTGGACACAGTAAGCATGAGGCACGTATGTTGTGTATGGTCCGCAAAACGCCTTTCATGACAGCCTGCAGTATAAGCAAATAAAATTTATAGCTTTGAGCAACTATAGTTCATAAGCTGTATCTATTACTTCTGTAATAGACTGAAGTTTGTTCCAGCTGACAAGCCAAAAGTGGAAATAAAGCAAAACAGACAACTTTCCAATGATGTGGACAGGAGAGCTGACTCGAAGGAAACTTGAAAACAGACGTCGCCCAAAGATGGGCCAGAACCCATTTCACCTTGGTATAGGCGGAAGCGGGGGGGCACCTCTTTCTTTTCGGCCAGAGCCACCTAAAAGGGAAAGAAAGTTTTTTGTGTTACTCCTCCTGGTTTCTTTCAAAGTGAGAGTTTACATCCCAGTCATTAATTCAGTAACTGGTGAAGGTCTACTCATTTTCTTGCCTAGCTATTTTCCTAAAAAAACTCTGTAGAGTTTCTGGTTAGTACGTTAAACAACATCGGAACGTCAATCGGTGTAAAAGAAAGTTTTTAACTAACACTATCCCCAAATGTCTGGAAAGCATATGTATTTTATCCCTTTGTCCCCATCTCGAAACAGTCTGACAGCTCTTGTTAGCCTTACTATTTTATGTGAACACACACCTTCTCAGTGCTACTTGCAACACATGCAAATTTCCATGAAAGTGGCAAGCTCTAAATACAGTAACATTTCAAAGCTCTTCATGTTTTTCCCTATATGAAGATTTTAATGGAAAACTCATGAAAGGCAGCATAAAAAAGGCATCCATTACTTTGCCTTTCTTTGCGGAATTATACGAATGGGATGAAAGCTATCAGGGCAAAGTGAAGGGTCAGAGACTAACAGGAATTTCTGCTCCAAACCAAAACCTCATCATTTGGAAACAGGAGAGAGAAACATCTGAGTGTACAGATGATTATAGGATAACTATGCACCGCCGATGTCACTGGTTGTGAAAGAAGTAAATTGATCCTTGGGTGTATCAGGTAAAATACCACTAGTGAAGATAGGAAACATCTATGCTGTTTTAGAAGACACGGTTGAGACCTGAACTGGAACAGCATGTAACACTGATTGGAAAAGATAAAATCAAACTGTGTTGTATGCAGAAGCAACCCTGATGATCAGAGAACACAGCTTGGAAGCAGAGTGTAGTATATCCTGATTTAATCAGCCCAGCAAAAAAAAAGCTGAAAGACAATACGACTGTTGTCTTAAAAAATATTAGGGATTTAATACACCAAGGAGGGAGGATAACTAAATTCAAGGACGACATTGGCACAATAATAAATGAGTTGTGCACGAATTTAGATGGGAAACGAGGGGGAAGTCCTAGGGGATTTTGTGGTTCTGGCTACCTGTAGCAGAAGGGCTGACTATAATGGCAGAGGTGGTCTCTTACACGTTCCAACTTAAAACCCAAACAATTACCCCCTCAAATACAAGTTTAAGAGGGGTTGTGCCTGTGAACGTGCATTTAGCTTTTTCTGTGTGGTGGGGAAGGGTGACCAGGCTGTTAGCCCAAGAAGTTTTGAAACCTCAGCATTCAGTCTCTTCCCCATCCACATTGTTTTTAGGATGATACATTGAAATTCCAACAGCAGAAGTGGAACAAACTTACCTCTACTTTCATTTCTTGCTAGTTTACTGGGATAACTTCTGTTCACGGGTACATATGGCTCTGGAGGTGGTAAATCAGATATAGGATGAAAAGAAAATCTGCTTTCCCATTCATCTGAAAATAATGCCACACAATTTACTCGTTAGTTTTGCGACACACCTTCAGGAAAGTAAATTGACATTAACATCACGTTTAATACATGTTTTATATTGCAAAATGCTTACATAGCTGAGTATTGAACTAGCATCCTATTGGGAAGTCAGGGAAGAAGACGCTTTAGGTTAGTTTGAGAATGAAAATTCTTATTAACTTTATCTGATCACTTAGCCAATTAACGCAAAATCACAGATCAGGAAAATGGCCATAATTCCACTGGAATAAGTGCCATGTTCCCTTCCATGTATAACAGATCTCCTTTTTAACACACACATGCACACATATATATGGGTTACCAGAAATGCAGTGTCTCCTACTTCAGAACAGTATTTTGTTCCTGGGTGTAGAATTTTCTGACATTCATACTTCCTTGATATACAGAGCTCAAAAGCATCAAAAGGAAAATTTGGGACTATTATGATAAAATATATGACAGAGAAACGTGTAACTAGTGTCACAAATGGAGAAATACATCAGTTGAAACCGTATCTCCTGAGAGTACAGGGGCCCTATTGGTGTACTTACTGAGTCTATAGGATTCTGAAGACTAAGACAAGCTGATCAGTTTCTTCACTGAAATAATAGGAAACTTTTATGGAGCTCTGTTCTGCACTTGAATTTGGAGGCCCAAGGAAGAAAGTGTGGGTTATCTTAAACTTTGTCATTTCTTCACTTGGTTGCTTCAGGACTTTGCAACCATAACTTTCTTGCAATACTGTTATATTTTATTGCATAACATAATGAACAGCTGCGTAAGTTTTGCCTTGGCAGTTCTACATGTGGTTATTTGCTGGGATCCAGTTTTTCTGTGTTTACTCCCAATGGCTGCAATTAGAAACCAATGTGTAAAGGAGGTGAAGGTTCTGAACTCTGCAAATGACTTGTGTTGGAAAAAATGCGTCTGTGACCCACCTGCCTTATCTGATGTGCGAAGATGCTTCAAAAGTGTGAGTTACAGTTTAATTTTCTGCTTGCTTTTTCTAACCGTATAAATATCAGAAATAGCAATTTTGGCCTCCCATAATTAGCTGAAAGATTTATCTGTCCTTTGCAAATAGAGAGTAATCAAAAAGAAAAGCACAATGAATCTTTAAAACACAGTAAACTTGGACCTCACCTTTTCAATAAACACTAGCACAAAGAGAGATACTTGACATTTTCAGCAGTGTTCTGACAATCTCTTCCCTCATCTGTTTTTCAGCTTTCAGCTTTTGAGCCATCATCTAACTTGTTCTGACTTCCAAAGAGTCTTAGTGTAGCTATGGTTTGAATTCGTAGTAGAGTCAGAACAATCCCCTTAGGCCTTATTTCTGTATTGCGGCAAAGCAAAGCATGGTGAATACGTTTCTTTTTTTGAGACTATTTTTCAAAGGGGTATTTTGGAGACTGTATTGATGACTTTGCAGTTCTGCTCTGGGTATGGCATATTTACTCTGTTCTTACTTGGCAGGGTTAGTCAAGACCCAAATGACACCTCTATTGGTCAGAAATCAAAAGGTCTGCACTAGAAACAAAGCTTCTATCCCAAACCTTTTTTGAAGTATTGAGGCCAAAATCTGCTACACGGTCTCTATCAAAGGCAAACAACTGGGAGCATGGCTTACCATCACCTGGATCCTGGAAGCCATTTCTGACAGCTGATGAAGGCGGCGGCGGTGGTGGTGGCGGTGCTGCTGAGCCTGGACGGTCAGGGGGAAGCGGCGGCCGTGGTCCACCTCTCTGGTTGTCCAGCCCTGCCCGGGGGCAAGCACACAAACGCCATTTGTACCAGAAGTTATTCTGCCAGTGGTAAGCCACTGCCTGCAGCCCACAGCCTTCAGAGGGTGGGTTGGCTTAGGACCCTCAGCCCTACAGGGAGATCGCCCTCAGCACCCACTTCCCTGCTCTCTGGGGCTCTCTAGGGAGTTGGTGCTAATTTGAAGAGTAGAGATCAGGGTGCATCTGAGGATAAATACACCTCAGTGCCCATATTCCCATTTCCCTCAGGTACAGAAGCCTCTATAGAGGTGCTGGTCCTTGAAGCCACTTTTAAGCCACTCTAAATTACACTGGCCACAACAAGCAGAAGTTACAGCTGGAATTCAGGGTACTGTAGAGGTCCAAACCATAGCCCATTTCCTTTCCATGTACCATTGCAAGGCAAGAGGAGGTCCAACAGAAGAGCTCTGCCACCCTCCCGAAGGTCTCTGTCCGTAGGGGTGATCCCCTCTGGGTGTCACAGCCAGGGTCTGCAGTGGCGCACAGGGGAATTCAGCCCAGCAGTGGCAGTGTTAAGCAGTATGGCCTCAGCTTGCCCATTTATACAAACATGTGCTGCATGCCAGGTTTTTTTGGTAGTTGGAGCATATTTACCTCCTGCTAAACTAGATACAGACCTCACACGCAGACTGGCATTCCCAGTGTCTGTGTATCTGAGTAACCGGCATGGTGACACAAGAGGTCAAACATGAAGGCACAGCCCAGGTAACTCAGGAGCAGGGCTGTCCTGAGGGCAGGGGAAGGGCACTTCTCTGAGAGGAGCTGGTAAATAAAGGCAAGAAAGCTGCTGCTGCCAGGGTGAGAGGTACCCACGGTTAGGACATGAGGAGACGAAGCAGAGGGTGTGGAGGGCTATGTGTGTTCACAGGTCTCGCCACCTCTGTTTGGCACAGTTGGGCAACTGACAATTATGTTCATTTTTATGAAATGCTTCCTTGTCCTGACGAAATCATGCTACAGTCATGCATTTTGAAAAAGAGAGCAGCAGATATTGTGTCTCCAGCAAACAAGCATTGAAACATTCTTCAAGAAACATGCCGTACTTTGTGGGGGTTTTCTTTTTTTTTCCCCCCTTCTTTTTTTTAACAAATTACTAAAGTTTGCCTTCAGCGAATGGCTTCTAAGAATGAGAAGCATTTAGCAACTTTCACAATAGCTTTGCTTGCCCTCTCTCTAAATCTGCTGAAACCCCATCATCTGTATTGAACTGCTGCAGAATAGGAGTATTTACATTCATAATTTATTGCTACAACTTCCTTCTACTTACTAAGCCTGCAGAAAGGTAATGCAGATTTGCTAAAACCATCTGCCTCAGAAAAAAAAGCCAGCCAGGAAAGCACCGGTGGAAGGAGAGGTCATTATGGAAGAAGCTCTTGGAAGTGCCTGAATAATTGCAGACGCTCTCTGCAACTTTGAGCCACGCTCCCAGTGAAACGTGACAAGATTTCTCCGATTTATTTACTGCAGGCTGCGCTGGCATTGTGCCATCCTTTGGGCTGGCAACCAGCTCCACAAAAGCGTGGTTTCGGGGCCAGTATTTTCTCTAGCTGCACGGCTGCTGCAGGTGCTGTGTGACAGGAGACCCAGGCTGGTTCAAGGAGGGGGAAAGCAAGACAGATGGCTGCTGCCTGGGGGAGCTCCCATGACATTCATCTCTGTTGTCCAGGACTGGGAAGGTTTGAGACGATTCCAGATTTTTGTTCCAAAGGATGAAACGAAAGGCAACTCTATGGAGCTTCCCAGTGTTGCCTTCTGTGCAATGCTTCTCCTTTCCTGATGTTATAGGGCCTAGCTGTTTGTGCCTAAATTCTCTCATCTCCGAAGGGAGAACCATCGGGTATTGAGAGAGCGAAGTTACGATGTGCAATTCTTGAAAGTTATGAACAATATCTGTCACAGAGGACAAAGTATATTATGAAATAACAAAGGAGAGAATTCTATTTTTAGCCTCATTTGAAATCTGCATATGGTAAGTAACAACAGTTAGTCACGCTGTAACAACTGCCATTACATTTAACAACTGTTGGCTAGGTCTTTTATTAAAATAATTTGTATTTGGCTGTTAAGTGTTCGTGTGTCCCAACACGTAGAAGGTCAGGTTCTGCAGACCTCCATTCAGGAGAACACCACCATTAACTCACGCTGGCTGACTCAGGAAGGCAAATGCTGTCACCTATCAGAAGCCAGACAAAACAGCTTCTTTGCATCAAAGAACATAATGGGGAAAGCCCCATTTGCAACCCTTTTTAATTACAGTAATTATAACGAAAGTTGCTGAGCTCTGCAGAAGCACATGGGAGCAGGCTGGTGATGCGCAAGTGACTTTCCTTAAGCCAGGGTGATGCCCATAAACCCTCATCTCCAACTGCAGAATCTCTCGGGCCTAACAGCACCGCTCCTCGCCCACGCAGAGCAGGCGGGTGCACGGCCGCGGCTAGCGGGGGAAGGCGCTGCCCCACACCGCATCGCGCTCCCCCAGCGCTTCTACGCACCGCACGTGGCGGAAACGCGACGCCCTGGCCGAAACGATCGGATGCTGCTCCTTCTGGGTCACAGCAGCTGAAGCACCTGCAGGGCTGTATCGGGACAGGATGGCTGAAGATTTTGGGTCACGCTCCAAGGGGCACGGCCAACGCCACTGTCGGGCAAACCCAGAATTTTCCTTTTCCCTA